TTGTTGTCAGGGCGACTTAGTAGAACGCACGTAGTCCGAAGTCGTCTGCCATAGTAGTTGTCATGATTCCTAGCATCTGACAATGGATTTGATACATTCTTAAACGTTTCGTCGGCATTGTAGTCGGCATCATCAGTGAGTCTTGCCATTCTCCGCACCAAGATACGAACTTGTCACAGAGACAAGTGAAGTCAATGCCTCGACAACCGTTCTGCCACTCCTCTGTCTGTCATTGTCTATCTATATACTCTTTACTCTCTTACGATGCCGACGAAACGTTTATGTTCACTTGTCTCTTTGACGAGTTCGTATCTTGGGGCGGAGAATGGCAAAACTGACTGATGATGCCTACTAAGATGCCGGCGAAAAGTTTTATAATGCCCACTGTCTGATGCTGGGAATCATGACAACTACTATGGCAGACGACTTCGGACTAGGTGCGTTCTACATAGTCGCACTGACAACAAGACCAAGTTGCGACAACGAAGTCAACCCACTTCTATAAATCGAAAGGAGACTGCGACCAAAACAGAGGCCACAACATCTTGGTCTTCATATATTTAATTTCCTTTGTTCCGATTTGAAGGTTCACGGGCAGGATTCCTCTCTTTCAAGACTTTAAGGAGAGTATTGTTTAAGTATGACTTCTCCATATGATGAGGTTCGGTGCCTGAAGGAGGGATTTCTTGGAATCGGAGGATGGTGAGTAGATAAGTAAGAGGCCAAACTCGTGGCACATATTAATGAAACTGCAGGAAGCTGGATCTGACTTGGAATCCCTTTGAGTCAAGTTTTTATATTAAAGGTAAGGTATAAAGACATGCTATGAAGCTTATACAGCAGTCTCAATTGTCGAATTGGCATTATTAACTTGCTTTTACTTTTTGACTTCAGGTGCGTTTTCCAGGACACGTCAGCGCGGATCTAAAGCATCTTCTGAGAAATCTTCTTCAGATTGACTTGACTAAGCGATATGGAAACCTGAAAAACGGCGTAAATGACATTAAGAGCCACAAGTTCTTTGAATCTATCAACTGGGTCTCAATCTACCGACTTGAGGTATGCTAAAAAATATTGCCCACTCTAGGCAAAATCATGCAAATAAGTAGTAAGCAGTAAGGCGGATTCTGGCCGGAGTACATTTTAGTTATAGGATTTCTTAATCGTGAGGTAAATTATATTAAATAATAAGCAATCTAACAGATTAAGCAATAGTATCTTCGGCTCAACGGCTACTTACCAAAGTCCCTCATTGTTATAGTCCTAATAAATCACTGGTTTGTAGGAATGTTAGATCACTTCAAGTCGATTTCGAAGAAATAATACAATTATACGCAACTATTAGTGGCTGAGCTAAGCTGTGAACACAGCAGAGGTGCCAAACAGCCAATATAGCAAACAATACAATGTTGAGTCTCAGTGTTTAGGCGGGGAGAAATGAAGAAGAGAATAAAAAGCTGCGTACAAATATTTTGATTACTTGATGCAAGATCTTTTTAAAGCAAGCCTTTTATATAAGCATCCTAGTGGGCATTTCACTAACTTAAGATAAGGAGCCGACAAATATTTGCCATATTTAAATGCGAGAAATAATTTTAAGGAGCTTAGCCCCAACCGAGAACAATTCCAATCCTATCCCTAGAGAGTATCATCATGTTTGGGGTTGGCCGTAAGGTTCGACCTATTTGACGGCTGACTTTCAAGCTAATAAAAAAGTTAGAGGTTAAGGGAAACTTAGTTAAGTAATCGGCTTAATTAGCCTTAATCATAATTCATGAGTGAGTCGATTAACTAATTAACTATATATAAGGTTTAGACTAATGGCTAAATCTATGTTCAACGGTAAATTCGAGGTTAAGTTTAGCTTTGATGCCCGATACAGACTATCTGATATGATTGGATTGGAAAATAGGGTCAGAAGCAGGTTTGGCCTTAAATTCCTGGGGGCTTTGCTGCCTTTATAACTTCCTGACCCCATAGCATTTGATAAAAACTACAAGCATTCTTAATAGTCACTTGGGGGCTAAAGTTCTAAATACAATTTATTGACGAGATATAACACCTTGTTATGGGGTTGCCGAGCGTTATAGCTACTGTATTCTACATGAATTGAAGAAATTGCTAGACATTTTATCTGAATTAACTTTTCTGTTGCGTCCATACCGCTATTTTCGCCCTGGCTGAACTGCAGTTTTGGCTTTGCATAAAAATTTCATCCGCAATTTAATCGGGATTCAAACCGCCAAGGTGCCGCTTTGAGGCGATCCCATTGTCTGTAGCCTCTTTGTGTTGACGAAAAGTGTGACTTCACTGAAACCTATCGAGCACTGCACATTCATGGCTCTATATCCTTCCGTGTATGTTCATGAAGCTTACTCAATACTTTTGAGACTACCAGTAGATCATATATATATATATATATATATTTAATGGAAACGTGAGTTATATATATATATCCTATTTCGTTTAAGATTATGAATGACTGGTGGTTGAATTTTAACACAAGGATATGGGTAAAACTCACGTTTCCATTAAATTTCAAATGACCTTGTATCCCAAAAGATATTCTCTCTTCCCAGTGACCAAAAAGCACTCATGGCAGTGCGACGCAGTGGTTAACGTGTCGAGATTATACGCTACGTTATCACAATTCGAGTCCGCGAGAGTGCAGAGGAGACCCGTTTAGGCTGCAGTCCAATCTAAACAGCAATTGACTACAAAAATGTCAGCGAAATCAGATAGCAAAACTGAGAGTGATTTAAGTAGACAAATTAACGAAGGCAGATAAACACAATATATATGAGGCATATAAATACCATATTTCATTTGAGGTCACCAGGAGACTGGTAGTTGAATTTCCCCCCAATGATATTATTAAGTCTTGCGTTTTCATTGGATTTCACATAATCTTACTTTCAAAAAGATATTCTTGTCTATAGTAGACTGAAATTTCGATATAGCCTACGTTTCATCCACACACCCAGAACCCATAAACACACTAGAGCTTGCATTCTTAACTAAACTATACCTCAGAAATAAAAAAACAACATCACTAAATAGATAACAAACCATAGCATATATTTATTCACAAACTGATTCCATTATATTAAAAAAATATTGGCAAATATCTTATAATCCCGAAAATAAAATGCAGAGCCATATAACCGCTAATTAATAGTGCCATTCACATAACGAGTAAAATGGCTGCAATTATAGTTTATTGTTCAAATCGACCTCTCACAGAGTGAGTCCAATAAAACACATTTTAAGAACTTCATTAAAGTTAAGCAAGTAGACAAATTGATCAAAACAACTTAAAACACTACACACATTTAGTCTCGATCCAATAGTCAAGGGTATTAGGAGAAAAGCATCTGACCTTACTAAAAGTTACAAAAAATACCAACAAGTGTGCACAAGATAAATCGTCTTAAAACCATATCCAAAATATAGTTTATAAATTAATTATTCAACACTCCAGAAGGGTTACATGCTCTAAATCTACGTATTATGTCTGTCACTAAATTAAACAACTATTATAAATAATATTCAGAAAATCCGTATCTCATATACACACTAAAAACCTTTCATAACTTGCCAATCCATCCAAATGGACAAAAAGATAAAGATAGTAAGCACTAAAAATTTACCCTTTAATAGGTGGTACATGAAAATAATGAGTATATTATATAAAATTTGAAAACATTTAGTTGGTTGAGGGCAGTGTGGTCTTGCAATATTGTGGGCAGAACGGCTGTCACTTGTGATGCATCCAACATAAGTTCTACAGACAGGTGCATTCATCACTCAGAAATGCGATTTCTCATTTTACATGATGCTCTTGGTTAGTTAGTAGCTAACCTATTTGCCTCTATATTTTTGCAGATAAAAGCGCCCTACATTCCGCCCAGCAGTGGCCCCGGAGATGCCAGCAACTTCGATGATTACGACGAGGAACCGCTTCGGATCGGCACTGTTGACTTATGCACAAAAGAATTTGCAGATTTCTAGCTCATTATCTTCCTCAAAAACGCAGATTCGCACATACACAGGTATGCAGGAGCAGAGGTTGGTGCCAATATGTACTATGACACTTTTTGACAGGTTCATTTGAATGTTGCAAAAGTGGACATTTATAAGCCAGAATAAAGAGATCCAGGCGCTAATCCATCCATCCATTTGCCTATTTCTATCCATCTAATTATTTATGTGTCGATCCATCTATCTATCCATATTGGCATCTTATTCTAATAAGCCAAGTTGTCTTGTTCTCTTCAACTCTTTTCAGCCTCTATTGTTTATACAACTTTCTTATTTCGAGGGCATTTTGTGTTCCTGTCTGCCACTGAGCGCCTGCTTAGCTTGTTACGCTATTTTATGTAGCCATCTGCTAATAAATAAATAAAATAAGTCTTTTTTTTCTCGCCTGTTCGAGGCTCACGT